TGTATGTATAATATAAAGATTTTAAAATTTTAATTAGACTTTTTTTCTATATAACAGTTATCATGTTTATATATTCTTCTCAATACGAGATTTAGGTTTCCAGTCTATTGATAGGTTTAGGGTTTGGTTTAGCTGATTATGGCAAAGCACACCAGGAATATCTTCGTGGAGTACTTCTAAGAGAAACGAGTCTCGTATACACATTATACGTAGTGAAAAACCACTGAAAAGTCCATGCAGCCTGCCCGTTCGCCTGGAATTGAAACCAGCTCGAAACTAGCAGTGTTCAACGATTTTACCACTTAGCCGCCGGCGGGCCGATGATTTTAAGATACAGACAAATGTACTTGCATTTTTCCAGATTACAGAAATTTGTTTGCATACGCGTTTCAAAACTTTATAAACTTAAGATTTAAGATATTCTTCGTACTGCATTTTCTATTCTTGGATTCCCTCTCGTTTTCAGTTTGCTATTTAATTGTTAAAATTTATTTAAATTTGGGAGAGGTATCTTTTAGATTCTTCCCGTAAGAGTTCGACTGATAGATGCATACACTGATTTAATTTATACTTTCCTTACAGGAACAGGCCTATTCCTTTTCCTTATCTAGGCACACCAATCCCCTGGAGATGATGCATCGAGAGAAGTAAAATCCATTTGCCTCTATTTTTTGCCCTTTTTTCTATGTATGAGGCAATGTTTGCACGAATTTTATTTTGCACTGTGTTGGTTTGAGTAAGAAATTTGAAACAGCTTTAAAGATTTTAAGTCTCAAATGGTTCAGAGGAAAGAATCATGTATTCGGAACTCATTAATCGACCAAATCTAAGGTTTCAAACGCATTCCCCTTGACACGTTCTGTTTGAAGCGTGTGACCCAGGGAGATTAATAACTTTTCTTCTGTCAAATATTATGACAACTATTGACAAGGTTTCCGAGTACTTTGAATTTTGTTTTAAAGTTTTCTGCATTTTTGATACACTTTTAAGTTGTGTTTTTCATGTTCTCTTGTACAGAATGTTTTACGCTGTAACTTCACCACATTTTCTTCGGATAGTATAACTAGGGTTCCTTACCTTTTTCCTTCACTTTGAAACTGATTATATATATTAACTAAAAACTTAGCAGTCGAAGTGTATTAAATTTCATTTTATTTAAATTGACATTTGTGGCCGCAATTCACTTGGCATCCTAATCGTGCCTATTTCCAGATCATTTACATTTTTGATACTGACTGGCGATTGGAAGAGAGCACAGCGAAACAGAGTCGAAGCGGCAGCAGATGTAGAAGCTAAAGTACGCAATTATCCAGTACAAAAACTCACCAAGAAAAGGAGTTTTTTTTTTTTTTTTTTTTAATAGATTAGAAAGGTTTCAATTCTGAAAATTTTGAGTTCAAGTTTCGAATTAGATACATCATCAGCTTTACGCAAGCCATGTAACGTAGATTAATCTAGAAATGGCGCAGTCCAGAGACGTTAGTACTACTTACGTACGTAGACGTGCTACTTTTAGACTACAGATAGGAAATACCCAAATTAAAAATGAGGAATTAAGAGGCAGTTATTAAATTAAATTATAGAGCTGATTTACATATTTTTTATCCTGCATATCCCCCCTTCAAAGAGAAAAAGGCTTGCAGACTGAAAACATTTTCTAGAAGAAAGCATTAAATCATTAGCGAAATGAGGGAAATACAATTATGGGAAAATAATCATAAAATTTAATTTTGATATAAATAATTTTTAAAACAAAAATCTTGTAAATATCTTTTTAACAATAAATGAGAACTGAAACTTTTATTGAAATTTTGAAACTTTGCATGTTCATTTTCCTATAAAAATACTGTAAGGAATGTCCTAATGTTGTCAAGAAATAACTGGAAGAGCTCACACATTTCTGCAAAGTCTCGCGGCAGTTACTTATAAAGGCCTCCATTCCTTATTTAAAGAAACTGGCCTTTTTGAACTGAGCTATAATATTCTATGAAAAAATTAATCACACTGCATTATATTAAAAAAATAAAAAATAATAATTACATACCAAAGAAAATGAAAATGTGAGCCTTTAAAGTATATTTTAACATATAATAACGCATAAATTTAAAAATAATTAGCATAATTCCCTACTACTAATGATAATTATTTAGTTTCTTGAATTACTCATATTTTTATATGTTATTACACTATTCTGTATCAAAACATCTAACACTTTTACAGTAATAATCAAACAATAATTCAAAATTTTCAACATAAGTTCATTTTATAATCATCTACTTAATAACCTTCCCTAAAAATAGTTTGAAAAACATTAAAATTCGTTGCGTAATTTTATCACACATAATTATGACAAGTTAAATCTTTTGAACAATAATTTCATATTTTTGTAAAACAGCACAATCAATAAGGCAGAAACTTTAAGCAAAGTATAGTCTGCAGCATATTTAATAATTTTGTCCCATTGAAAACTGAACCTTCACTGAAAGATAAGAATTTTGAGTTTTTCGATTGACGATTAGCTATTAAGTAAACCGGTTAACGATTAGCTAAACCGATTGACGATTAGCTATTAAGTAAATGCTATTAAGTAAACCGGAAATGCAAATAAAAATTTTCTGTCACACATACTTGAATCTCTGAAATCGATGACCAAACTTTTAAACTCAAATCGATGACCTTAAACCCATTGTAATGCTGGATTTCTTAAAAGCGTAAACCACTGATGATTTCAAACACACTTTTTGTTTAGTTGAGGTGGCCGAAATAAATTCAATACTCGTTTTCACTAGACGTTCGAACTTTTGGATGAAAAAACAAACTTATTTGGATTTCGCAGATATTATTTTACAGCTATCCCATTTGGGGAGTAAATGTTCCTTTGATGTTTGTAGCATGGAAACAAGATTTATTTCTTTAGCACACTTTATAATATTTTCGGTTTTTATACTCCATTTCAAGATTTCAGTAAACTGCAATCTAGAATCAGGGTTACACTCTAAAACAAAGCTGCGAAAAAAATAAATTTATTTCGTTTTACTATTATCAACTTTTTTCGGAATCAGCAACAGACTGAATTAAGTGATCTTAAGGATTAGATCGGGTATGCTTAGAAAGTATGCCAGTTATTATAATTCTTTCTATATTTATAGCGATCTAAAATTTAAGATCAGAAACACTGACAATGTTTAAAATAGCTACGAAAATTAGAAAATCTTTCTGCAACTGATCCATTGATAAAAGCAGAGGTGTAATATTTATGATATTAAAACAATATTTACTGCTCTTCCAGCACTTGAAACAAGATACTAAAAATACTCCTGTTTCCTTTGCAAATGAGGCAACAAATGGCAGAAAACTGTCTGAACTCGACAACACTGGACAACGGAGCATCACAGAACAGAGGAAATGTAATATCATCAACACATCCGCATACAGTTTCCGTAAAAACATATATTCACTTTATACTAGAATTTGTGAAGAACTTTGTTCAGGTGCTAGATACAAATGGGCTAAAATTCGCCTGTTAGAAAATAATATTTTTCAGTATAAGTGGTAACGAAATTAAATAAGATATATTTGCGGAACAAAAAATTTTAAAAAAATTTTCAATTAGAAATCTGGTCAAGAGTTAAGTCCAGATAAAATAATTACTCCATGGAAATTTTTCACATATATTTCCCGAACTTTCTTGTAGGCGTTTTCTGTAAAGAGTTATAAAAAATAATGGATGATCGTTTGAAATTAAGCGAATCCGGGAAATTCAGCATGCCTTTAAAATTTACTTTTTCTATTAATATTTAGATTTCTTCCCTGATGATCAGGAAGCAGGGCACAATAAGCATGGAGAATTTAATTACGAGGAGAAAAATCTGATAACAAAGAAAGTGGTGGTGTGGTGTATTTAATTATGGCAAAGCACACTAGGGCTATCTGCCTAAGAGGGAGGGATGCCTTTCGCGGAGGACTTTCCAAGGGAAACTGGCTCGTATACACGTTACACATGGGGAAAACCACGAAAACACCCATGCAGCCAGCCCGTTCGCGGGATTCGAACCTCGGACCGAACTACCAGTGTTCAGCAACTTTACCGCTCGGCCGCTGGTGGGCTGATAATAAAGAAAGATATTAAGGCCACTAGAGTCTCGGTACACATGATGTCTTGTGCCAGACCCATATAAGAGACACGTTTCTCAAACAAAGCAAAAACGTCGATTATTCCGACTTTTGAGGTGACTTCTGTTCTCACCACACATATAAATTTATGTACATTACTATGTTTTATAAAACGTTGTCGCATGATAGAAATATTACGATTACATATTTGAATTCAGCAACAAAAAACTGTCGTATTCACGTATTTTTACCTGAGTATCAAAGGAAAAGGAGAAAGTTATTCCTCAGGCGGGCTAGCATTCAACAATTTTGATATGCTGTACATTTTTAAGAAAGAATGCTCTTTTTATATCTCAGTAAAACTACAAATTATTCATGAACACATTGAAAGCAATATGAGTTTGAAACTGTAACTTATTCAGAGCTTTCAAGGAGAAAAGTAATTCCTAGGAAATCTTGTAGGTTTGAAATTTGAAAAAGTTTTATAAGAATATAATTGTGCAGACACTAAATGTTACTTCTGGAAAAATTTATGCTTCACAAGGATTTAAAATACTACAATTTTAAAATAGAATCAATTATTGTAAATATTTGTATCATTCTGAAAGCAGATTAGAACACGAAACAATCAATCAATAAGAGACGATATCATTAGAATCTCCTTTTCATGCTGACGCAAATCAAAATTACATCGCAATTCAAATATTAAGTTTTAATAAACGAAATTTGAAATGCTTATGGACAATACATCATGCTATACTGACGCGTATGGATTTAATTTCTTTCTTATAATTTTTTACTATTTAAATTTTAAATTCAAAATTTAAATAGTAAATATTCATCAAACTATTTCTATTGTGCTGAGGAGTATTGCTTTTATATTTCAGTGCCGGCAAGGTATAAAGATCTGAAAATGAATGGTGGGCTCCCTTAGATGATGAATTATTTTCCTATCATAGTGGTTTTATTAGTCATCAGAAGGGGCCATGAAAAGCGATGATGATCCGCCGACGCCTTCGTCTGAGGAGCATCGCTCCGGAACGGTGAGTTTCATTTTAAAATGTGATTAATATTTTTTAAAAATGTTCTTTCTTAAGCCTACGATGGTAGATTTACCCCGTTCTCAATAAGTATACAAAAAGGAGAAGGGAGTAAAAATGAGTCCTTTAAGTTTCATAATGTCCAAGCAAAGAGGGAAACTAAATGAAACAAATAATATTGTATGAGATGAATTATTAACTTTCTCCCTTTCTTTCTGCTATACAGCTCTTCTTCGCAGCGATATCTAAGATTTTCAGAAGGAAACTAATGGTATTTGATCAACAGAGTACTTTGCAAAATAAATGAAAATGAACGAACCTAACAGAAATATTGACTTCGATTTGCATAAAATTAATGTAGCATTACATTCAAAAAATTGTAAGATACTGATTTGGGCTATAGATACAAATAGTAAATCTGAAATTTGGCGTAGTCCATTTTCAGATTCTCGACGTGTTAAGGTTTGTGAAGTTCTAAGTATGAATAATCCGTACGTTATCAATGAAAACTGTGGTCCTACTTTTTTGTAGTACTCAAGGTTCAAGCTATATCGACAATACGTATGTGGGAGCTGATCTTCTTGGAGACATTTTGCATTGGTGTCAAACAGATTATGAATCTCTCTCTGATCATAGTACGACTGAATTTGAACTATCGTGTAGCTTCCAATAACACTCTTTATGACAGAGAAAACAGTAAGATAGTCTTAGCGTACAGAAAGCTAACCGTAATAGTTTTTACGATACATATAAACAGTTGATTGATGAGCTGTCGCAGTTTATTGATTGCTGTACGAATAAGCATGCATTAAACTTTCGACTAGAAAATTTTATCTCGATTCTCTATGACGTAACTAAGGCTTCCATGTCTGTAAAAAAGCCAAACGTTCACAAGGTACTTTGGTGGACTACTGAAATCGAATGTATGATAAAGCAGGTTAATGCTGCTAGACGTAGGTTCCATCGAAATCTTAACCCTACTCTTAGAGAGCTATATAAACAAAAATATCTACAATTTAAAGCTCCAAGACGCAAAGCTTAACCCTTGGAGAGAATTTCTAATGAATATAAATGAAGTGATTGTTTGGAAAAAATATATACGAATGGTATAAAGTAAAGTTCTATGAAAAGAGCTGAATTCAGTGGAATTAGTCTCCCATCTGCCATTAAGGCTGAAGCTTCAATAAATTATGTTGCTAATCCAGATCCTCTATTCACTAGGTCAGAAATTAATAATGTTATAGAAAAGCTGTTGGTCTTGATTCTATTTCAAAAGAAATTTTGAAGCAAGTTCATAGAATGTTCCTAAATTTATTCTCCAAAATCTTCAATACTTGTCTGAAGCTTGGTTCATTTCCTCGTTGCTGAAAAAGAGCAAATTTGGTTTTAATCCCTAATAATAGTAGTCCTCGTATCCCGAATTTGGATAATTTGAGATGCATTAGCCGTCTTCCCAGTTTAGGAAAATGCCTAGAAAAACTGTTTTCTAATAGAATTACCTGGTTCCTGCATAATAAAAAACTTTTAAACAAAGCACAGTTTGGTTTTACCCCCCATAAGAGATCTGAAGATGCTCTTCTGTACTTAAAAGACATAGTGGATCAAGGTAAGAAGATTAAATTTACAAACAGATTTAGTGTTACTTGATATCAAAGGTGCTTTTGACTACGCCTGGTGGCCTGTTATACTTACCTTTTTTAAGGAAAGCTGGTATTCCATGTAATAGTTTGCCTCTTATTAAAGGTCACAAGCCTTCGTGGTGTGCAACGGTTTCCATAGGTCCAAGGTTCGAGGCACGGCGAGGGTATTGCTCATTGTTCGTGAACTCCTGCTTCCAAAACATTTAATCACACTGCAACAGATTTGCATTGCTCTCCCTTGGCCATGTTTTTTCCTCCCGCACTTTGGAAAGAGGTTGCCCTCCTCAGTTTCTGGACGCTTACTGTGGAATTTAATTATGAATGATATATTCAATAGACTCTCACATTGTCCGAGCTATAAAACAATTGCTTTTGTTGATGATATACTAATTTATTTTTAAGAGACGTGTCTCAATACTCTCTTTAATACGGCTCAGAACAACCCTTAACAAAATTTCCGGTTGGTCCAGACAACAAAAATTGGAAGTCAATCCTAATAAATCTAAAATTATGATAATTAAAAGAAAGCATGTCAGCTATACAAACCAACAATTGTACTTGGATAATACCTTACTAGAAACGGTAAAGAAATTTAAATATTTATGCATTATTCTTGATCATAAGTTTTGCTGGAAAAATCATGTTATGTATTTATCCAATAAGTGCGAAATACGAGTGTATACTAGAGGACTTAATCGTGTTTCTTGCAATAGCTTTGGTTTAAAATATAATGTTATTGATATGATTATTAAACAGGGTATAGTCCTCTTTATTTGATATGCTTCTAGAGTATGGGGAACAGCTTTAGAAAAGAAGATTAATTTCCGTATCCTTCCCAGAATTCAAAGGAAAATCTTACTAAGAGTTGCGCGTGGCTACGGAACGATTAACTGTGAAACCTGTTTCGTAATTTTGGGGTTTCCTCCAACTCATCTTCATGTTTTAAATGGCAAAAAGCTTAAAGATACCATCAGCAAATATTTGTTCGATACCAAGTTGTTGTTTGAAGATCTTCCTCACCCTGCCGATCGTTTGCCAATTCAAACTATCATTTATGACAATATTGTTGATGATAATTTCCCAGTTGTGTGTGATACAGATGGCAGTAAAATGAATAATCGAATTGGGTTAGCTTTTGTCGTTTTCCATCATGGTTCTGAATTAGAATACAGACTGTTTAGAATTTCCAATGAATACAGTGTTTTCCAATCCGAATTACTAGTGAGTCAAGTAAGTAGATATCTAACAACTCCTCGTTAAGTACTAAATTTCTTATTTGCACTGATTTTCTTTCATTCTTGTATTTTCTTATGATTATCTTCTCATATAATAAACTAATTGTCACTTCTCATGCTATTCTTAAAGAGCTTAATAATAAAAGTGTTGATGTCATCTTTTCTCATGTACGTGGCTACACTGACAATCTAGGGAATGAAAGGGCTGATTGGTTGGCAAAACAAGCTACAAATCTTTAAGTGAATGTTCCAATGATACTGCCTAAATCATTCTTCAAGAAAAATGTAGGGATGAAACAATTCTCAAGTGGAATTAATTATACAGAAATTCTACTACTGCTTCTTTGACTAATTTTTTTCCCTTCCATTCCTCACAGACTGAATAATAAATATTTTTTTCTGAAATTTTAAAATTACTAAATTTCTAGCTTTACATGGTAATTTCAACTCATATCTAAAGAGATTTGGGTTATCTAATACAGACATGTGTTTCTGTAGCTTCGGGGGAGTGCAAAATGTCGACATTTGTTGTTCTGTTGTTCAAAGCTTACGAAGGATGAAAAGAACTCATTTCTAAGTTAATTTCTGTGAAAATTACATTTCCTCCCCCTCTTCATGTATTTGTTCAGGATAAAATGGCTTCTCCTTTTTTTGTATATTTATCTCTTACGTGTCATCTGTGAATTTGTAAATTTATTTTATTTTGTGTTCTGTTATTGGATTTGTTTTTTTTTACTTACCTCTGTAAGCCTTGCGTAATACTATGTGGTGCACAAGGAATTTGAATAGTCTTAAATAGGAAAAAGAAGCAGTAAAGAAATTTGGGTTTAAAGAGCCTAACCATGCTTTACATGATTATTATCTAATCTGCAAACTTAAATCTCACCTTAGTCGAAAGAGATTTAATGAAGATGTTGACCTGAAAAGAGAAGTTCTGGAATATTTTAAAGACAAATGTCCAGATAATTTTTTCAGTGGAATTAAATAATATGAAAAGTATATCGAAGTACAAGGAAAATACACAAAACTAAATCGTTAAAATTTTCTCTATTTCATTAAGAGTTGTTCATGTTTCAATAATACTTTTATTTAATCTTAAATTTAAACAGAATTCAAACTCTTGCTGATTGTGATATATTAAATCACAGTCACATAAGTCCTTTTGACTGTCTGATGCTGACACGTGAGCTATCATCCCCGTCTAAAGTATTATGACAAAGTCTTGGAAAGTGTTTAAATAAACTTTCTACTTAATCTTTAACTTAAGTAGGAGAAACAACTCGACAACAATCAAAACACCCCCACTTGCAGTTATTTAAATTAGCGTAAGTTGAAATTTCAGATTAAAGGTGACACAGTAGAAGGTCTATGCAAATTTATTTATTTAAACTGGCTCAGTATTTTAATGGCGCATTTTAACATCGGCTAGCGAAATGGCCATAGCCGGAAAACTTACTGGGAGAGCTGGGCGACTAAAGTAAACTGGAGGCGACCCTACTAAAATCTCTACATCTAAAACATTCATAATCCTCAATTTAAATACTCTGCAACTTAATTTGCATCCTGGTGAGGTATATGGAAAGGAGAAATCATAATAATTGGTTAATTAACATAAAATACTCTACAAACTTCCGCTCATTGATATAACCGTTTTTCTTATTATTTTGAACTATATTTCCACTCCCTATAGAGTGATTTCCCATGTGAAATCGAGAACAATTCATTTTAATTATGCAGTCAATACTATAATACCGCAATCAATACCATCTTAAAGTTATGATAACGAAAAGAAAAACCACTTATTTTATAAACGACAATGATAATATGCATTTCACATGTTCTCAGTGTTGTTGCGTAACGTGTGCATTGTTTACGGAAAAATTATTTAAAACTTCGACAATTTCTGTATCATTCCTGATGACAGACATATTCATAAAAACCTATGTAAGTAGGCAATAAAAAATTCATCTCAACTATCTTAATCAAATAGTAGCTTAACGTATTCGACATAGAGATTTTAATCTAAGTACCTTGTCTTATTCAATATTTGACTATTCTTCTAAACAGAGTTTTCAGGCTTCAAATTAAGTATATTTAGTCACGAATTAAAATTATAAATGAGAGGGTG